AATCTTTCTTTCTGATGTCTTTTTCCTACTTTCTAAGCAGCAACAGCCGACCGACGCAGCTCTTTTTTTTTTTTTTTTTTTCTAAAAATTCTAAAAATTGCTAAATGTAATAAATTCTACCAGAAATAATTTTCAACATAAGGTGCAACTTTTTTTTTATTTTTTTTTTTTTGTGATTTTTGTTTCTTTCTGCTAAAAGGAAAATGTTTTTGTATTCTTCCCTTAAACTGGCTCTTTTGTAAAGCTCGTCCAGCTTAGAGCCGCCATTCAGAGCCGTGATTCTGAGTGAGAATGACATCATTATCCGGGCCCCGGAACGTGCGCGCCGAATTGCTCCTTCTTTCCATAATTAAAGGGAATGTCCGGAGGAGGCTGTGTGCGATCACAGGGACAATAAGGGGAGCACTGTATTCATACACAACGAACGGCGTAACCCAAGACCATTACAAGTCGCTTACATGGGGGGCCGTCAATGAAGGGGCCCCGGCTGAGGGGATTTAACATGTTCGTGTCGTATGGCTCCGGCGGACATTGAAATGTGAGCGCTCGGTGTTTGCAGAAAGGGGGATAAGCTGGGTGACAACGCTGTCGGGGGTTGATGTCCTGTAGACCTTCATGAACCGATGACTCCATGCTGGATTGGTATCCGCTATAGAGGGGTCCTGCGGGGCCCCACCGCTCTGAGCATATTCCTACATGGATCCATAGGATGAGGTCAAATATTCATCATACAGTCGTGGGAGAAATATTCATCCAACCCCTAGAGTGCGCCAAACCTTTGCAGCTACAATTCATTGTGCCAATAAAACGGGGAAAAAGACGACATCGCCATCATATGAATAATTGTAACATTGAGGGTCCCTTCACACGGCGTGACCTTTTATTTCTTTAGTTCAATCGCACTTTTTCGAAGAAAAAGTTTACACCCGGTTTTTTATACGTTTACATCCATTTTTTCATCCGTTTACATTGGTTTAAATCCGTTTTTCATCCATTTACATCCATTTTTTCATCCATTTACATTCGTTTTTCATCCATTTACATCCGTTTTTTCATACGTTTACATCCATTTTTCATCCGTTTACATTCATTTTTATCCGTTTACATCCGTTTTTTTATCCATTTACATTGGTTTAAATCCGTTTTTCATCCATTTACATCCATTTTTTCATCCATTTACATCCGTTTTTCATCCATTTACATCCGTTTTTTCATACGTTTACATCGATTTTTCATCCGTTTACATTCATTTTTATCCGTTTACATCCGTTTTTTTATCCGTTTACTTTGGTTTAAATCCGTTTTTCATCCATTTACATCCATTTTTTTCATCCGTTTTCCATCCATTTACATCCGTTTTTCATCCATTTACATTGGTTTATATCCATGAAAAACATCCATTTACATCCATTTTTCATACGTTTACATCCGTTGTTTTCATCCCTTTATACATCCGTTTAATCAGTTTTTTCCAATAGTTTTTTCATCCATTTCTCATCCATTTACATCCATTTTTCATCTGTTTAGATCAGTTTTCATCCATTTTCATCCGTCTACATCCGTTTTCAAGTCCGTTTACATCCGTTTACATCTGTTTCAAACAAAACGGATGTTAACGGATGCACACATCCATTTTTTCATCCGTTTTTCATTCCATTTACATCTGTTTTTCATCCGTTTACATGTTTTTTTCTTCCGTTTTTCATCCATTTACATCCATTTTTTCATCCGTTTACATCCGTTCTTCATCCATATACATCTGTTTTTATATCCGTTTACATCCGTTTTTTCATCCATTTAAATGGATGAAAAAACGGTCCATTTTTTTGGTCCATTTACATCAATTTGTTTCATCCCTTTTCAGTGGCAGTTAGTCAGTTCCCCCCAGCGTCAGTTAGTGTCACATTTCCCCTCCGCCGAGAAATCTCCAACAATAGGGAAGTTTAAGGCACTGCGCTAAAGAACAAAACAAAAAATAAGCGAAAAAATAGTTGTATTTATCGACATCCATTAACCACTTCCAGTCCGGACACTTTCCTCCCCTTCCAGTCCGGACACTTTCACCCCCTTCCAGTCCGGACACTTTCACCCCCTTCCAGTCCGGACACTTTCACCCCCTTCCAGTCCGGACACTTTCACCCCCTTCCAGTCCGGACACTTTCCCCCCCCTTCCAGTCCCGACACTTTCGCCCCCCTTCCAGTCCCGACACTTTCGCCCCCCTTCCAGTCCCGACACTTTCGCCCCCCTTCCAGTCCCGACACTTTCGCCCCCCCTTCCAGTCCGGACACTTTCCCCCCCTTCCAGTCCGGACACCTTCCCCCTTCCAGTCCGGACACCTTCCCCCCTTCCAGTCCGGACACTTTCCCCCCCTTCCAGTCCGGACACTTTCACCCCCTTCCAGTCCGGACACTTTCCCCCCCCCTTCCAGTCCGGACACTTTCACCCCCTTCCAGTCGCGACACTTTCACCCCCTTCCAGTCCTGACACTTTTCCCCCCCTTCCAGTCCGGACACTTTCCCCCCCCTCCAGTCCGGACACTTTCACCCCCTTCCAGTCCGGACACTTTCCCCCCTTCCAGTCCCGACACTTTCACCCCCTTCCAGTCCCGACACTTTCCCCCTCTTCCAGTCTGGACACTCCCCCCCCCCTTCCAGTCCGGACACTTTCCCCCCTTCCAGTCCCGACACTTTCACCCCCTTCCAGTCCCGACACTTTCACCCCCTTCCAGTCCCCCGACACTTTCCCCCTCTTCCAGTCCGGACACTCTCCCCCCCTTCCAGTCCGGACACTTTCACCCCCCTTCCAGTCCGGACACTTTTACCCCCTTCCAGTCCGGACACTTTCACACCCCTTCCAGTCCGGACACTTTCACCCCCTTCCAGTCCGGACACTTTCACCCCCTTCCAGTCCGGACACTTTCACCCCCCTTCCAGTCCGGACACTTTCCCCCCCCTTCCAGTCCCGACACTTTCACCCCCTTCCAGTCCCGACACTTTCGCCCCCCTTCCAGTCCGGACACTTTCGCCCCCCTTCCAGTCCGGACACTTTCCCCCCCTTCCAGTCCGGACACCTTCCCCCTTCCAGTCCGGGACACCTTCCCCCCTTCCAGTCCGGACACTTTCCCCCCCTTCCAGTCCGGACACTTTCACCCCCTTCCAGTCCGGACACTTTCCCCCCCCCTTCCAGTCCGGACACTTTCACCCCCTTCCAGTCGCGACACTTTCACCCCCTTCCAGTCCTGACACTTTCCCCCCCTTCCAGTCCGGACACTTTCCCCCCCTCCAGTCCGGACACTTTCACCCCCTTCCAGTCCGGACACTTTCCCCCCTTCCAGTCCCGACACTTTCACCCCCTTCCAGTCCCGACACTTTCCCCCTCTTCCAGTCTGGACACTCCCCCCCCCCCCCCTTCCAGTCCGGACACTTTCCCCCCTTCCAGTCCCGACACTTTCACCCCCTTCCAGTCCCGACACTTTCACCCCCTTCCAGTCCCGACACTTTCCCCCTCTTCCAGTCCGGACACTCTCCCCCCCTTCCAGTCCGGACACTTTCACCCCCCCTTCCAGTCCGGACACTTTCACCCCCTTCCAGTCCGGACACTTTCACCCCCTTCCAGTCCGGACACTTTCCCCCCCTTCCAGTCCGGACACTCTCCCCCCCTTCCAGTCCCTACACTTTCCCCCCCTTCCAGTCCGGACACTCTCCCCCCCTTCCAGGGAAGGATACAGGGAAGGATAGTATTGGGGTTGCAGGGAGGGTGAGAATGTTGGGGTTACAGGGAAGGATTGTATTGGGGTTGCAGGGAGGGTTAGTGTTGGGGTTACAGGGAAGGATAGTATTGGGGTTGCAGGGAGGGTGAGAATGTTGGGGTTACAGGGAAGGATAGTATTGGGGTTGCACGGAGGGTGAGAATGTTGGGGTTACAGGGAAGGATAGTATTGGGGTTGCAGGGAGGGTGAGAATGTTGGGTATACAGGGAAGGATAGTATTGGGGTTGCAGGGAGGGTTAGTGTTGGGGTTACAGGGAAGGATAGTATTGGGGTTGCAGGGAGGGTTAGTGTTGGGGTTACAGGGAAGGATAGTATTGGGGTTGCAGGGAGGGTTAGTGTTGGGGTTACAGGGAAGGATAGTATTGGGGTTGCAGGGAAGGTTAGTGTTGGGGTTACAGGGAAGGATAGTATTGGGGTTGCAGGGAGGGTTAGTGTTGGGGTTACAGGGAAAGATAGTATTGGGGTTGCAGGGAGGGTTAGTGTTAGGGTTACAGCAAAGGATAGTATTGGGGTTGCAGGGAGGATTAGTGTTGGGGTTACAGCGAAGGATAGTATTGGGGTTGCAGGGAGGATTAGTGTTGGGGGTTACAGGGAAGGATAGCATTGGGGTTGCAGGGAGGGTTAGTGTTGGGGTTACAGGGAAGGATAGTATTGGGGTTGCAGGGAGGGTTAGTGTTGGGGTTACAGGGAAGGATAGTATTGGGGTTGCAGGGAGGATTAGTGTTGGGGTTACAGGGAAGGATAGCATTGGGGTTGCAGGGAGGGTTAGTGTTGGGGTTACAGGGAAGGATAGTATTGGGGTTGCAGGGAGGGTTAGTGTTGGTGAAGGAGCTCAGCGGAAAGCGGCCACTCAGGAACACCAGAGCACCCCTTCCATCCGGCCATGTCTGTCTCTCCCTTCAGCAGCAGAAAGCCGGCGGGAGGGAGAGGGGGAACAGTGCATCCTTCTGCAACTGCTCTCCCCCACCACATCGATCCTCCTGCTGTCCGGACCACCTTCCTCGAATGGCAGTCCTGCATGGTTCTGTCCGCAGCTGCTCACCAGGCCCCTTTTTCCCGGGGGGCGGTGTCACCCCCCTAAAAATTGCTGCCCTTGTTTGCCTCGCGGAAGATAGGCCCCTGGTTTTGGGGTACAAACAGCTCCTCAGCAGTATCTACACTGATCAGCCGTAGCATTATGACCACCCTCCTAATATTGAGTAGGTCCTCCTTTTGCCACCAAAACAGCCCAGATCAGGGGAGGACTGACAACTCATGGGGCCCCCGGGCAATAGGGGATCGTGGGGCCCCTGTGTCCTTGCCCAAACTCAAAAAAGCCTATGAAAAAGGTACCAGGGGCATCTCATGGGGCCCCCTACTGTCCCTGGGCCCTCAGGCAGTGCCCGAGTTTCCAAATGGTCAGTCCACCCCTGGCCCTGATCCATCCAGGCACGCGCTAGACAAAGCATCACACTGCCTCTGCCGTCTTGCCTTCTTCCCATACTGGATCCTGGTGCCATCTCTTCCCCAGGTAAGTGGCGCACACCCACCTGGCCATCCACATGATGTAAAAGAAGACGTGACCAGGCCACTCTCTTCCATTGCTCTGTGGTCCAGTTCTGATGCCCATTGTGGGTGCTTTTGACTGTGGACACAGGACGGGTCAGCATGGGCACCCTGGCTGGTCTGCGGCTTTACCGCCCCATACACAGCAAACTGCGATGCTCTGTGTGTTCTGACACCTTTCTACCAGAACCGGCATTCACTTTTTCAGCAATTTGATCTCCAGTAGCTCTTCTATTGGATCGGACTACACAGGCCAGCCTTCGCTCCCCATGTACATCAATGAGCCTTGGCCATCCATGACCCTGTCGCCGGTTGTCCGGTTGTCCTTCCTTTTGGTCGGTCCTGACCACTGCAGGTCGGGATCATCCCACAAGAGCTGCCGTTGTGGAGTTGCTCTGACCCCGTCGTCTAGACATTACAATTTGGTCCTTGTCAAAGTCCCTGCAATCTCCACACATGCCCATTTGTTATTGAGCTCAACACATCAACTTCAGGTACAACATGTTCACCGTTTTTCCCTTCAACTGTCAATGGACAGAATGTTATGGTGGATTGGTGTAGATTAGATGCATAGAGGTTTTTTTCACCAATCTTTGCCTTTCTCTACTTTCCACCTGAAACTTCCATGAAGGAGAAGTCCGAGGATAGTAGTTATTTGGTTGATGACTCTTAGAAATTGTCCCTTTTGTGTCATCCCAGGCCGGCTGAGGACAGAACAGGCTCCCTCTGCAAACTCGCTGGATTGTTTTTGTTTGCACCTCATTTACATGATGAAGAATGGGACGTTGCGGACCACCAGAGTGGGTCCAGTGTATGTAATGAGCATGAAATTTCACCCCTCTCTGCTCTTCTGTGAAGGGGTCATGGCTGCCCCCCTGCCAGCAGCTCCCTGTGAGGATCCCAGCAATACAGACAGACAAATGACTAAAGAGGGATAGATATGAGCCAAAACTTTCACAGTTCAAATGGTTCCAATGCATGTGGTTTTCAGTGTGTTAAGCTGCTTGGCTGGAGTTGCCCTTTAATTGGGCAGATTGTAATGGAGATGTGCTTGGCGCTCAGCCCAATGAGATTTCATCCTTTTTCCATCTGACCCCAGCAGTCATTCTCAACCAGGGTTCCATGGAACCTTAGGGGTCCTACAGAGGTTCTTAGGGGTTCCCGGGGCGGTGGCTGATCTGATGGTGTCCATTTGGCAAGAGCCAGCAGCAGGACATTTGATGGTGCCTGCAAAGCCACTTGGCAGAGCAGAGCCAGCAGCAGGACATCAATGTTTTTTTTTTCAGCAGTCTGTAACAGTCGCATTCTGACCACCATTGTGAGGGAGCACAAGGTTCCTACAGAGGTTGTTATAGATTCCTCGAGTTGTGGCCCTTCTGATGGTGCCTGCATTGCCACTTGGCAGAACCAGAAGTAGGACACCAATGATCTTTTTAGCTATCTGTAAAAATGTTCCATTTAAAAGTTCCATTTTATTGTTGAGGAGCCACAAGGTTCCTAGAGGGTTCTCAGGGCTCCTACAGAGGTTGTTAGTGGTTCTCGAGCTTTGGCTGATTGATTTCCTATTTGAGGGTGCCTTCAAAGCCACTTGGCAGAGCCAACAGCAGGGCACCAATGATCTTTTTAGTTTATCGTAAATATGGCATTCTAACTACCATTGCCAGGGAGTATAAGGTTCCATCATGATTCCTAGGGTTCCTACAGAGGTTCCTAGGGGTTCTTCAAAGGTTTTTAGGGGTTCCTTGAGCTGTGGCTGATTCACCTCTTAATTGAAGGTGTCTGCAACACCACTTGGCATAGCCAGCAGCAGGACACCAATTATATTTTCAGCTGTCCCTAAAAGTAGCATTCTGGCCACCATTGTCAGGGAGCACAAGGTTCCTAGGGTTTCTACAAAGGTTGTTAGGGGTTTCCCGAGCTGTGGTTGATTGACTTCCCATTTGATGATGCCTGCAACACCACTTGGCAGAGCCAGCAGCAGGACACCAATGATAATTCAAGCTGTCCTTAAAAGTCACTTTCTAACCACCATTGTCAGGGGGCATCAGGTTCCTACAGAGGTTCCAAGGGTTTCTACAAAGATTGTTAGGGGTTCCCCAAGCTGTGGCTGATTGGTCTCCCATCTGATGGTGCCTGCAACGCCACTTGGCAGAGCCAGAAGCTGGACATCGATCTTTTCAGCTGTCTATAAAACTGCCATTTTGACCACCATTGTGAGGAAACGTACAGTTCCTATAGAGTTCCTAGGGCTTCTACAAAGATTGTTGGGGGTTCCCCAAGCTGTGGCTGATTGACCTCCCATCTGATGGTGCCTGCAATGCCACTTGGCAGAGCCAGAAGCTGGACACCAATGATCTTTTTAGCTTTTTGTGGAATTCTGACCACCATTGTGAGGGGGAATTTTTTTACCCTGGCCATCAATGAATTGACTTGACATGGGGTTCCTTGAGACATGAAAACTATTTCAAGGGTTCCTCGGAAGCAAAAAGGTTGAGAAAGGCTGGACTACAGGAACCTGAAATCTGAGCTTAGCACAGGCAGCCTACATATTTCACTCAGTCCAAAGTCACTTTGAGAGAACCAGTGATGGGTCTTATCAGTTGGAATATTTACCCGCTTGTTATATTAATTGATCAAGCCTACTAATATACTCTATTTTATCTTTAGTTACTTTGCCTGAGCCCGAAATTTGAGTTTGAGGGTCAGGTCAATGGCCATCTGAAGTCTGACAGCTGTTGTCCCTTCAGCTGCTTGACCTCCCACCTCCTGAAAGTACCTTAACTAATATAGCTGGTTGGTAGATTTAGTATGGTACTAGAGCCTCCAAAAAACTTCTCTCTTCGAGACAGCCTCTTACCTAGTGGTCGACTTTGGCTGATCATGAGGAGAGGAGTCTTTTGGTTAGGGCCTTTTGGTTAGGTGGACCTGAGTGTGCCTTACCTTTGTCAGGAGCTTTGCACCCCGGGGGCTCAGGGAGGGGTTCTTCCTCTTCGGGAGGGGAGCAACAACACACCCTAAGTGCATTCTTTTGGTTCACCTATTGGTGTGTTTATTTTTACGCACCGCAGGCTAGAAAAATAGAAAACCAAAAAAAAACCCAAAACAAAAACTGATGAACTGATGCCCAAATTTGCTCCGCTGATGGCCCCCTCACGTCCAACATCCTTTGATTGAAAAATTAAAGGAGCCAGGTGGAAAATTGTTGGATTTGGACAGTCAGCAGAATCAGTCAAATTGCATGTTTCCAGAAGTGCAGCAACACTCAGTAATAAGATTTTGCATTTTTTTCTATAGGGCCCCTTTCACTGCTGAGGAAAGTGTTTTCCATTATCGGGCCAGAGTAGTCCAGGTACCTTTTTCAGGCAGGATCTCACATTTTTGGCCATACATACAGGGGCGGACTGACAACTTATGGGGCCCCCGGGCAATAGGGGATCATGGGACCCTGTGTCCTTGGCCAAACTCAAAAAAGCCTATGAAAAAGGTATCAGGGGCATCTCATGGGGCCCCCTAATAACCCCGGGCCCTCGGGCAATGCCCGAGTTTCCAAATGGTCAGTCCGCCCCTGCATACATGTGTTAGGGGCGTGTCTGTTTTCGTGTCCAACTGCCATTCTCTTCCTCCTTTTAACCTGCTTTCTATTGGCCTAAATAAAAATGCTTACGCGTGAAAATGCTCCAAAACGCACGTAACAATGCTTCAAGAAGAGGCTTCATTCAAACTTTGCGTTTTGTAAACTCACGCAAAATTGCACCACGTTTTGCACCCAACACTCCCTGTTTGATTTCAATGGGCTGTCCTATGCGCAACAAATGTGGCAAAGTGGCTCATGCACCCTGACCGCCCAGCTTCGTGCGTCTTCTAACTGCGTGCTTTTCTGCACTTTTTTTTAATGCCGGGTTTGCGTCACCATTAATAATGAATGGCAATGTAAGCGCAACAAGCGTTTCTTGCGCATTTTGTAAGCGCACACAGCACGATTTCCATAAAGTGTGAACACAACCTGAATGGCCATATTGAAAACGAGTGGCCATCTTAGAATGATGGAATTCCTTATCTTGAGCGTTGTCGCACTTTGAGAATCGTACGGCAAAGCGCCCAGGTGCGAATGGGGGCTTAAACTGATCCTTGCCATGACCTTCAGAAAAGTTTATAAAAGACTAGCAATGGGATGGACAAAAAAAAAAAAAACGATATTCCGTGACTTTCCGCAGTTCCCCTCTGCCCACCTGAGGAGGATAAATCTCCAGCTGGGATGATGGGGCCTTCATCAGAGTCGCCGTTATCCCCCTCTCACCACTTTCAAGTGTAAAAACAACCTGTGTCTGAAGATGTGGTGAAGAATGGAGGGGCATGACACCGCCGAGGGCCCGGCCTGAGCCCTATTCACCGCCCCGCAGCCATGAATACAGCCAAATCCCAAATGAAAGTTCTAATCTCCCCTCTGCATTCAGCGCGCTCTATAAAGGGGCTTCCTTTTAACTCCCCCCCCCCCCCCAAAGCTTTTGTAGTCGGACCCTCCTGGAGAAGACCGCCGGTCACCCTGAGCTCTTCCCCCTCGTGTAGAAATGAAGGTAACTCTGCCACCAAAACAGAAGAGGGACCAAAGTCACCCGAGTGGAAGAAGAACATCTGAAAACCTTGAGGACAATAATTATACTCACGATCGGCTCCTGATCTCCATGTGCTTTGTATGGTTTTTAGACCAGCCACCCGAAGGAAGACTAAAATCAGATTTGATTTTGGGTGGAAGACAGTGTCGGACTGGGGCCACTGGAGGGGATCACTTCCAGTGGGTTGTATCCCAATTGTAGGTGGTAAGTGATGGACACAGTTGGGATCTAGGGTTGCTACCTTCCTGATACGGACAATGGGGCCATTACCGCAGAGAACAACTGGGTGATTTAGGAGGAGCACCCGGAGTCCAGAAAAACATCTCACGTGAAGATTGTTATAATGGTTAATTGAAGCTAAAAGTATACAAAGTAGAGCCAACACATTTCGGTGAATTGCCGGTCATCCCTGAGCTCTTCCCCCTCGTGTGGAAATGAAGGTAACTCTACCACCAAAACAGAAGAGGGACCAAAGTCACCAGAGTGGAGGAAGAACATCTGAAACCCCCGAGGACAAAGGGGAAATGTATAGATGTAAAGGGGAACTCCAGTCCTAACAACACCGGTAATAGTTATGCCCATGATCGACTCCTGATCTGGACTGGTGCCACTGGAGGGGATCACTTCCGTTGGGTTATATCCCAATTTTAGGTGGTACGTGATGGACTCAGTTGGGGATCTAGGGTTGCTACCTTCCTGATAACAACAATGACCAGTTCCCACAGAGAACAATTGGGTGAATTAAGAGGAGCACCCGGAGTCCAGAAAAACATCTCACGTGAGGATTTTTATCATCATTTTTTTGAAGCTAACAGTATACAAAGTAGATACAACGCGTTTCGGTGAATTGCCAGTCATCCTGAGCTCTCCCCCCTCGTGTGGAAATGAAGGTAACTCTACCAACAAAACAGAAGAGGGACCAAAGTCACCAAAGTGGAAGAAGAACATCTGAAAACCTTGAGGACAAAGAGGAAATTTAGAGATGTAAAGGGGAACTCTGGTCCTAACAACAGCGGTAATAATTATGCTCACGGTCGGCTCCTGATCTCCATGTGCTTTGTATGGTTTTTAGACCAGCCACCCGAAGGAAGACTAAAATCAGATTTGATTTTGGGTGGAAGACAGAGCAGGACTGGTGCCACTGGAGGGGATCACTTCCAGTGGGTTGTATCCCAATTGTAGGTGGTAAGTGATGGACTCAGTTGGGATCTAGGGTTGCTACCTTCCTGATACGGACAATGGGGCCGTTCCCACAGAGAACAACTGGGTGATTTAGGAGGAGCACCGGAGTCCAGAAAAACATCTCACGTGAGGATTGTTATAATGGTTAATTGAAGCTAAAAGTATACAAAGTAGATCCAAAGTGTTTCGGTGAATTGCCGGTCACCCTGAGCTCTCCCCCCTCGTGTGGAAATGAAGGTAACTCTACCACCAAAACAGAAGAGGGACCAAAGTCACCAGAGTGGAAGAAGAACATCTGAACCCCCGAGGACAAAGGGGGAAATGTATAGATGTAAAGGGGAACTCCGGTCCTAACAACAGCGGTAATAATTATACTCACGATCGGCTCATGATCTCCACGTGCTTTGTATGGTTTACTAGAATGTTTACTAGACTCTTGTTCGGACAGATTTCAGTGAGTTATTCCGAAAAATTACAGACCTACAATAAAAAAAAAATACATATTTCCATGCCAAAAAATGTACCGCTTTGAGCACAGAAACACTGACATAATCAGACCGCTAGGGAGGTTACAAAAGTCCCTGATCCTTTCCAAAAATACGTACCGGGGTGAAAACGCGGAGATGTGAACGTGTCCCATAGGAAATCCTGTTCGATGGACTGCTGTGCACACTTTCCCGCACACAGCCAAGCAGTGGTTAACCCTTATCATGCCTGAAGCGGCCAAGTCTGCGCCGGCGCCCAAGAAGGGCTCCAAGAAAGCCATGACCAAGATCCAGAAGAAGGACGGCAAGAAGCGGAGGAAGAGCAGGAAGGAAAGTCATGCCATCTACATGTACAAGGTGCTCACGCAGGTCCACCTCAACACCGGCATCTCGTCCAAGGCCAGGAGCATCATGAACTCCTTCAGCCATGACACCTTCGAGCGCATCGCCGGCGAAGCTTCCCGCCTGGCTCATTACAACAAGAGCTCCACCATCACCTCCCGGGAGATCCAGACCGCCTGGAGAGCTGGCCAAGCACGCCGTCTCCGAGGGCACCAAGGCTGTCACCAAGTACACCAGCGCCAAGACTTAGACAGGACAATTCGGATGGTTGCAGGCTGGTCGGTAAGTTGCGCAGTGTGAGACCTAGACATGACAATTCGGTTGGTTGCAGGCTGGTCGGTAAGTTGCGCAGCGCACCTAGACTAGGAAAGGGCTATTCGGTTGGTTGCAGGCTGGTCGGTAAGTTGCGCTGGGAACCTAGACTTAGACAGGACAATTCGGTTGGTTGCAGGCTGGTCGGTAAGTTGCGCTGGGAACCTAGACTTAGACAGGGCAATTCGGTTGGTTGCAGGCTGGTCGGTAAGTTGCGCTGGGAACCTAGACTTAGACAGGACAATTCGGTTGGTTGCAGGCTGGTCGGTAAGTTGCGCTGTGAACCTAGACTTAGACAGGACAATTCGGTTGGTTGCAGGCTGGTCGGTAAGTTGCGCTGGGAACCTAGACTAGACAGGACTATTCGGTTGGTTGCAGGCTGGTCGGTAAGTTGCGCTGGGAACCTAGACTTTAGACAAGACAATTCGGTTGGTTGCAGGCTGGTCGGTAAGTTGCGCTGGGAACCTAGACTTAGACAGGACAATTCAGTTGGTTGCAGGCTGGTCTGTAGTTGCGCTGTGAACCTAGACTTAGACAGGACAATTCGGTTGGTTGCAGGCTGGTCGGTAAGTTGCGCTGGGAACCTAGACTTAGACAGGACAATTCGGTTGGTTGCAGGCTGGTCGGTAAGTTGCGCAGTGAACCTAGACTAGGAAAGGACTATTTGGTTGGTTGCAGGCTGGTCGGTAAGTTGCGCTGTGAACTTAGACATGACAATTTGGATGGTTGCAGGCTGGTCGGTAAGTTGCGCTGTGAACCTAGACAGGGCAATTTGGTTGGTTGCAGGCTGGTCGGTAAGTTGCGCTGGGACTTTATCTTTGTTGTTTGCTGAAATGGTTAATGGTACCCCCTGTGCATGTGACAATTGCATGTGCATTTGCGGGCGCCAAAATACATGGTACCCAGGGGCGGACTGACCATTTAGAAACTCGGGCAATGCCCCATGAGATGCCCCTGGTACCTTTTACATAGGCTTTTTTGAGTTTGCGCAAGGACACAGGGGCCCTATGATCCGCTATTGCCCGGGGGCCCCATGAATTGTCAGTCCGCCCCTGCTGGTACCATGCGGTTTGGTGCAGCATGACTTTAAAAATCATGCCTGGGCTATTTTTCATGTGTTCTTGAGCCCCAGAAGACTTCTGGGTATGACGAAACGCGTCAGAGGAAGAGTCTCCCTTCGGAGGTCATCGCGTAAGGATTGCCACTTTAGCTTTTTTTTTGCTGATCGATGCTTTTAATCTGCTATGCTTGTATGTGCATTTTTGTCTATTTAATAAATGAACTCTAACTTACTGCACTAGGAGAGGCACCTCTGTAATTTTACACGAGTACATGCTGATCCCATAACACTTGAAGAGGTCAGGTGCAATGCTTCGGCCAATCACAGCACAGGATGATGTCACAAGGTGACGTCATGACGGTATTTAAGACCGGTCATCTGGGGGCGCAGCTGTCAGATGGCGGGAGCCGATGTCATGAGCCGAGCGTTTTTTTTTTTTTTCTCTTTTGACAGGTCGGCGGCGGGGGGGACATCGTGATTGACGTTGGATCTACTCCGGGGGACATTTTTTTTTTACTTTTATTTTTAATAAAGGACTTGTCAAAGATTTTCTCTTCTTTTTCTACACTACACTTTTTATTTTGTGAATGGGTAGCGGTACCATATACCCCATACTCATTCACGGGGGGGGGGGGGGGGGGGGGGGATCTGGGAGCCCTCTTGTTAAAAGTGGCTTTCCAGATTCCAGTAAGCCCAGCCACGGTTGTGGGGAAGAGGCCCCTTGTCCCCAGGAAGGAGGAAGCATTTCCTCAGTCTCCCCTCCCCCAGTGATCAGACTGTTCATTGTAACTTTGTAGAAGGAGGAGGAGGCATTTCCTCAGTCTCCCCTCCCCCAGTGATTAGACTGTACATTGTAACTTTGTAGAAGGAGGAGGAGGCATTTCCTCAGTCTCCCCTCCCCCAGTGATCAGACTGTACATTGTAACTTTGTAGAAGGAGGAGGAGGCATTTCCTCAGTCTCCCCCCTCCCCCAGTGATCAGACTGTACATTGTAACTTTGTAGAAGGAGGAGGAGGCATTTCCTCAGTCTCCCCTCCCCCAGTGATCAGACTGTACATTGTAAATTTGTAGAAGGCAGGAGGAAGCATTTTCTCAGTCTCCCTCCCCCAGTGATCAGACTGTACATTGTAACTTTGTAGAAGGAGGAGGAGCATTTCCTCAGTCTCCTCCCCCAGTGATCAGACTGTACATTGTAATTTTGTAGAAGGAGGAGGAAGCATTTCCTCAGTCTCCTCCCCCAGTGATCAGACTGTACATTGTATCTAATGACAAAGCGTGAGGCCGCAACAGGGGCTGATCTGTGTCAGACATTTGTGAACACAACCAAGAACTGCACAGGCGCCTGCGTTCACATGCTTTTCTGAGCCGGTCTCTCAGTTCAGGAACTAGATGGTGAACCTGAAGGATGCCCGAGCAAAGACAGTGCTGACCTTCTGGAGAGAAAAGCAGATGAAGGCGTGGTCTGAGGGCGCAGTGCAGGGGCGGACTGACCATTCGGGGTACTTGGGCACTGCTCGAGGGCCCGGGGTCAGTAAGGGGTCCCATGAGATGCCCCAGGTACCTTTCATAGGCTTTTTTTGGGTGTGGTTTGAGTGTGGGCGAGGACACAGGGGCCCCATGATCCCGTTTGCTCGGGGGCCCCATGAGTTGTCAGTCCGCCCCTGGCGCACTGCGATCTTTGTGAGAGGTAAAAAAAAATACTGATGTTCGGCCCACCTTCATATCAAAACCCCACGGGGGCCCCCATTGGAGAAGGTAAAGAGGACCTGTATGTGGTATGATATCTGGGGGGGGGTGCACCTGACCAGGAACCCCCTTTCCTCCCATCCCCCCACTTCCTTTCCAGTCCCTCTTCTTAAACAAATGTGAACTTTTTTCCTCTCCCCCCCCCCCAAAAAAAAAAGGTCTGTGGCAGTAAAAGCGTCCACGCCGCCATTATGCAGATCTGCGGCTCATTAGTCACCGGCTGAGAAATAGATTTGAATTAAATGAGTGGCGGCCTTTTCTTCGGCGCGCTCGGGCCGCGGTGGAAGCTTCACGTTCCTCCCGTTGACAAGATGTGAAGTGACACAAATACCATGACTAACATTCAACCGGATTACTCCATTACCTCCACGTCAAAACTGGGCAAAGGCGTCAGGGATCCGGCGTCTTTCCTTTCACCGCATCGGCCAACAAGTGACAACTCCTCTCCATTAAACAACAACCCACGCTGCCTCCTGTAGGACCCACGCTTAACCCATCAGCCCCGCTCAATGGCCCCCATTCGACAAGGTGCTTATGGCTTTGTGTTCAACAATCAAGTCTACACAAATAAAAAAAATATACTTTTTTGTTTTTTTTTTTTTTTTTTTTTTTTATTTTGGCTGTTTCACAAATCCCCTCTTTTCTCCCACCCAGGAAAAAAAAATCGGGTCATTCCTGGCCACGAACGATAAGCAGTTTGGGAATATTAAACGTCTCACCTTTATTTACATGGGAAAATCCTTTTTTTTTTTGTCCAAAACCTTTTTTTTTCTTTTTTTTCCTCTCTTTTTTTGCCCAAAACCTTTTTTTTTTCTTTTTTCCTTTCTCTTTTTTTTTGTCCAAAACCTTTTTTTTTTCTTTTTTCCTTTCTCTTTTTTTGCCCAAAACCTTTTTTTTTTCTTTTTTCCTTTCTCTTTTTTTTTGTCCAAAACCTTTTTTTTCTTTTTTCCTTTCTCTTTTTTTTTGTCCAAAACCTTTTTTTTTTCTTTTTTCCTTTCTCTTTTTTTGTCCAAAACCTTTTTTTTTTCTTTTTTTTCCTTTCTCTCTTTTCTTGTCCAAAACCTTTTTTTTTTTTCTTTTTTCCTTTCTCTTTTTTTTTTGCCCAAAACCTTTTTTTTTCTTTTTTCCTTTCTTTTTCTTTGTCCAAAACCTTTTTTTTTTCTTTTTTCCTTTCTCTTTTTTTTTTTTTTTTTTGTCCAAAACCTTTTTTTTTTTTTTTTTTTCCTTTGTCTTTTTTTTTGTCCAAAACCTTTTTTTTTTCTTTTTTCCTTTCTCTTTTTTTTTTTTTTTCATTTTTTTTTTTGTTTATTTTGGCTGTTTCACAAATTCCCTCTTTTCTCCCACCCAGAAAAAAAAATCGGGTCATTCCTGGCCACAAATGATAAGCAGTTTGGGAATATTAAACGACTTACCTTTCTTTACATGGGAAAATCCTTTTTTTTTTTTTGTCCAAACCCTTTTTTTTTTCTTTTTTTTTTTTCCTTTCTCTTTTTTTTTTTTTTTTTTTCTTTTTTCCTTTCTCTTTTTTTTTTTCTTTTTTGTTCCAGTTTTGTTTTTATCTGGTGGGATAGAAGGGGTTAAGTTCATGCTTTGCTGGGGTTTTTTTGGTGATAGAATATTCAGTTACATAGTTAGTCTGGCTGAAAAATGACAAAAGTCCATCCAGTTCAACCTTTATTTTTTTTATTTTTTCCTTTCTCTTTTTTTTTTTTTTTTGTCCAAAACCTTTTTTTTTTTTTTCTTTTTTCCTTTCTCTTTGTTTTTTTTTCATTTTTTTTTTTGTTTATTTTGGCTGTTTCACAAATTCCCTCTTTTCTCCCACCCAGAAAAAAAAAAATCGGGTCATTCCTGGCCACAAATGATAAGCAGTTTGGAATATTAAACGACTTACCTTTATTTACATGGGAAAATCCTTTTTTTTTTTTTGTCCAAAACCCTTTTTTTTTTCTTTTTTCCTTTCTCTTTTTTTTTTTTTTTTTTTCTTTTTTCCTTTGTCTTTTTTTTTTTCTTTTTTTGTTCCAGTTTTGTTTTTATCTGGTGGGACAGAAGGGGTTAAGTTCATGCTTTGCTGGGTTTTTTTGGTGATAGAATATTCAGTTACATAGTTAGTCTGGCTGAAAAATGACAAAAGTCCATCCAGTTCAACCTTTATTTTTTTTATTTTTTCCTTTTTTTTTTTTTT